AACAGGAGCTATTCGGTACTCAACACTTGCCATCTATCGCTGCTTGCATTTCAAAAAGTTCAAAAAGATTTCATCTCAAAAGATCTTCAGCTTGCATTTAAAACATGAGAAAGAACCTCTTCATCAGCATTTACTATGCGGGACTCTTGTGAGCATCTCTCCTTACAATCACAGGGGTATCTGGAAAAGGCCACTGATGCTGGCAACTGCCCTGTGGCTACACAGACCATCAATAACAACTGCAGTCTACTCCTGCCTTCAGCCCTCGTCCACAGCAGTGTGAACCTAGCATTGTAGCACTTTGCAAGACACTGTTTGAAAGAGGATAAGGAACCTGAAAGCAAACAGATGACGAAAGCTTTCTGCTTTCCCAAGCAGCCAGGGCTGTTCAGGAAGACAAAAGGCAGAAGATGCTGGCACTGGCGAGGTCTCACACAGTCAACACTCGCTTCACGTGCAGCATATTTAATTTGGGGTTTAAGAACAATTCACCCCTTCATAAAGATTGCCCACTGCAACCACGGCGCTGAGGTGAAGGTCAGTAGGAACGGTTTATCTACTGCCTACGCGTTGGTCACACAACCTGACGCCTATGAATTGTGCAACAGGGCCATGTTTTGCACTTTGCAGTTCACAGCTCTGCTCTGGGTTAAGTGTCCCCCATCCCACTGCTGTTCCCCAGTGTTTCACTATAAATCCACGTCTGATAACTATCTTCTATAAACTATATAGGCACTCTCGTCATAACTGAGCTTTAAACAAAACTCAAGTTACAGACACACAGTGGACAGGCTGGATTGCCCTGGTTCATCCTAATGTGATAAAGTCACTTGAGGCACTAAGGAACTGAGCAAACCTGAATGTTGTTAAGCAAAGGAAATTCTGTTGAAAGTGACCGGGAGCACAAAGCAAGGCCCCTCCTAAGAGGCTGAGCTCTGTGGAGGTTATTCACAGAGCTACTTCATGGGCTTAGTGTGGGCACTATGAAGGGAAGAACTTGTGCCATAGATCATTCAAGTACTTGGACCGCGCGGAGCCGCTGCAGGAGCACCTCTTTCTGCATTCACTATATGCAGAACCCAAGAAAACTAAGCTCTGGATTTATCATCCTCACTTAGATTCCTAAAGCAGACAGTTTTGAATATCTGCTAATGTACATACCTGGGCTGTGATTCTCAGAAATCCAGTATCAACCCAAACCAGTTCTCCATACATTCAGATTCAATAAATTCTTTCATTTGTGTCACACACACACTCAGCTCCATAACACGGTTGTCATGCAGCTAAATTTGGCCACAGTTACAAGGCTTGTTTAAGATCACACAGCAATTCACACTGACATGAGTAACCCAGGAGTCCCAGTTCTCAGCACACAAAGTCCCCCTCTCTTTCATCTATTTTTTTTCTAACATCTTACAAAATTCCCTAAATACAACTTTCTAAGATGCAGTGACAGAGTAGAATTTGCAGCAGGAAAAACTCAATTTTTACCTTCATGCTGCAGGGTTTTTTTTCCTCCTATTTTAGATCTAAACTTCAGAAGTTTCTGCTGAAAATATTTGAAAAAGGGACTTAATATCCTGAGAGCCACAGTTTCTGAATACCTAATGTGGGCATCCTAAAGGGTACAAATTATCATTAAATGCGGAGCAATTTCCCAGTAGGATTAGAACTCTTTAACAAGCGCTTGAAAAAGGAGGTATCCAAAAATCCCCAGATCCCAGCCACTCTTGGAGACTGTGAGCTGCTCTCATGAAGAGCTGTGCTTTTGACCCCAAAAAGAGCTAGAAACTCTGCCCTAGCATTGCAGTAAAAGACAACAAAGCTGCCAGCTTCACAGGGACACACTAAAGATATTTTTAACGTTCTCTGCTCTCTGTTAGTTATAACACCCTTTTGAAGGTTAAAAAAGAAACCAGATTCTAACATGCACAAACCAAAACCCGGTAGTTACTTTTGGCACCATCTGACACATTCCTAGCAGTCTCAGTAGGAAGGCCAGGAACAGGCTGGACATAAAGCCACTGAGGTCCGATCTGAAAATAATTCAGCCATGCTAGAAAAATGCTTTAAAACCTTTTAGACAAGGAAAATCTCTTGAAGCGAGGGTATTATTATACATAGGTGAGGCATAACTTTTAAATTCAGTTTTACAGAACAGAGAATGCTACTTCCCTTCATCAAGGCACAAGTACTGAGATCTTTACTCACAGGAGCAACATTGCTAAAACCAACAAGGCAGGATACAAACGCGCTACCGAGTCAAACAGTAAACACCTTAACGGGAGAGGGAAATCGTGCCTCCAGAATTCCAGCCACATATACATCCGTAAAAATCAGATTTATTCACACAGATGCTCAGTAAATTCTAATCATATTCAAATTTGGAGCTCAGGCTTTTGCATTAACTATTGCTTGCAGAGCACAAACACACACGCACATCCTCCTAAAAACACCGGCGATTCAGCAGCAACACTCATTAACCAGGCCCTGCGCCACGAAGGGCCTTGTTATCAAGAAACCCTGAGCAGAGTTATTCAATGTGCTCCTTCACGGCCAGCCTGTAAAGCAGCCATGACCACAGAGGGCTGTGAAGGTTTATGAAGGGAAACCCACTAACTGAAGTACTGTAGTTCAAAGAGAAGCTTTGTGTCTTCTCCACACGCAGGAACTTTTCTTCAATTTTTGAAAAAGGTGGCCAAGAAAATTGGCTGGCAAGAACATTAATTTGGTTTCATCTCTAAGTAGAAAATATAATACCATGCATCCTTATCAAAATGAACCAGGTTCATTATGGTGGGAAAAGAGGATCCGGCGAAGCGATTCCTTTTTTAGCCTTTTCAGCATCATTTTAAGATGTTGAGCTCAGCCCCTGTGGGACAGGAAGCTGGTGACCCACTGGAATAGTGGGAAACTGAAAAGCAGACATAAACTTACAGGGGCCTTGAGCAACGATTCACTTATGCCACCTTTGCTTAAAAACAGCCACTGATTTTTTACATACAATTAGAATCTCCAATTTGAGCAACGCTTGCAAAAAGTCTCATGGAAAAGTAAATCAGTGCTTCTCAAAAGTAAAACACTGAAATGTGGAACACCTTAAAAATAAAGGATGTCACTGTACCTTAGGCTGCTCACTCTCTCAAGATGATTGGAAAAGTTAATAAAATAATGTTGGGAAAGGTCTCAAAATCTTTAAATGAAGGATACAAGGAAAAAACGTATTTAATGATGCCCCTGAAACCAAAAATTAACAGAAATGAAGTGCTCCACCACAGTATCTCACTGTTTAAGTTTTGCCATCATTAGGATGTTACTTTAATATGTGTAGCATGTGCACAAAGTCATTAGCTGAATACCAGGTCAGGACGGTTAAAGGGAGCAGATGAGAACAGATGAAATAAGTTTAACTGAAGTTTCCTTTGCAGAAGCGACATTTTTATTGCTTAGATAAAATCAGGATCTGATGCAAGATAGTTACATTGTATCTTATTAAAAAAAAAAAAAAACTCATTTCTGAACCTAGCGGCTATACCAAGAAGCCATCAGAGAGCTGACCAGGGTGCAGGCTAAAGGTCAAAAAATTACAAGGCAAAGAACCAAAAGGATAAAGATAAACTAATGAGCAACCCTGAAATACCACTGGTAACTCTTAAACTTATCTCAGTATTTTGAGAGGGGCTCAATTCACAATTTGAGTCTTCTGAACAGACAGGTTAGGACCACAAACCCGAGATCCAAAACTAAGCATCCACTAAAATGCAAAGATGCCCCCACTGTTATTTTGGTATGAGGGTGCGTGAGTTTGGGAAGAAGATAAGTTATTGGCATACACTTACATCCAGGCTCAAGAGAAAGAAGCAAAGGGTGTGGGTTTACTACAGTACCCTTGAGGGCGCACAGGCAGGTTTGGAGTTACAGAAGGGAAGAGGGAGGCAAAGGATTCCTTACCTGCAGCCAGCAACGCTCAGGGAGCGCACAAAAGTCCAGGTTGGCTCTTTAGAAAACCTTTACATTGGCTGGCTCAGCTTGACCGCTTGAAGGCTTCTCAAACCCCTCCTGACTCTATTCTCCCCTACAGACAACCTTTGTGAAAGCATGTATTTAAGATAACTGTATACAGTTCTATAAAGCTTCATAGGTTTTCACCGTGTGATAAATAATGTTTGCCAACGCACATTTTTTCCCCAGAACATCATGCTGCAGTTACTCTTCTGATTCAGTGAGGTTGCTTAAATAAGTCCCTGTCCCTCTAGTGCTCTGTCATTCACATTCAAGTGGTTTCTCTACACATAACTGTTTTGTGCCTTGTGCAGTTACTCCCTCAGCCTCTCCTGCTTACATATCAGCTTGTGTCCAGGATTACTAAGTGTGAGATGGGATTTATAGCCCAAGCAAAGCCTCATATGTCAGCCAACTTTTGCAACACTGGAATTAACTCACCAGCACCTGCATACTGACCTATGAAGAAAGGCTCGTTTCAGTTTATGGTGAACTGCAGCACTTTTCACCACCTAACAGTGCAGCAAATCATTTCCACCAGAACACAAATCATTAGCAGTGCAGTCCACGCTTTAACATTTATTTGGTTTTTCTCTTGGCCAAACCTGACCCCTGGGTTTGCCTTTGCTAGGCACCAAGTTGAAGTTGTTCAACTGTCTTGGCAGAATAAACTGATTGGATTCAGTCTGACTTCAGCTGAGCGCTCCCTCTCCCGAGCTGGGCGGATTAAGGCCCGGCAGCGCAAACCCGGTGCCGCCTCCGTCCTTGGCACCAGCTCCTGCTGCCCGGTGGCCGGAGGCCGGAGGGGACGTGTGCCGGAGACCCTGCCCAGCGCGGCAGCCTGAATGAGGGGTGCATCAGCAGCCCCAGCAAGGAGTAGCCTCGTGCTGCAGGAAGGACAGGCTGACACGTGGTTGTTTTAAAGCACCACATCTTCAACCCACCTGCCCGCAGGGGTCAGAGCCCTCTAACCCCCGGGGCTCGCAGGGCTTTTAACCATGAGGGTACCTAATCACCAGGGAGCGCTGGTGACTTCCAAAGTGAAAATCATTTTGGTTAAAGAGGCTGAATTTAGTTGCATGTTTTCTGTAACAGGTAAAATCCTGGTTAGAGCCGCTTAGCGCTTGTGTGTGCTCCTGGAACTGTAACCACTGTCTCAGCAAGCAGCCTGATGGGACCACCTCAGTTCTCTGTAACATACTTGGGTATTCGAACACAATTGCAGAGGGGAGGAAGAGTTGGTAAAATAGAGATGCAAAATCTCAGGATCCATTACAAGATCTTTTTTGTTAGTGTCACAGAGCTTATTAAAAGCAATCCACAACCACAGCAGATGGCAGGTACTCCAAGTTTCGTGTGTGCTGCAGAAATATTCAAAACTTCTGCTTCAGAGCGGGAAAGCTCAGAGGTATCAGCTCAAGGAAAATTCACCATTAAAAGATGCATTTAGCATTTGCCTTTAAGGAAATACTCATTTAAAGATCCACTAGAAAGTAACTGGACATCCACATCCGCACTTGCCAGATTTATATGTGCTCTTTTATTCTTGCAGCCATTACTAGGAAGCTCTGGAAGTGTGATTTTAATATGCAGCATGAGTAAAGGCAGTTGGTCAGGGTTTTTACAGGGTTTAAATGTAATCACATACAAAACCTTGAAGATTATTTGCCTGCTTGTATTTTTATGGGTTTTTTTTTGATTCCTTACAAGGCAGGGTGGTCCTGTGATCACACCAATGCACTTGCACTCCAGGAATCCAGAACTGGGTGTCTGTTGTGCCACAGTCTTCTTACGAAATTGCATGCAAAGTGTTACACACATTTCTTTCTTACATCTTGGATACTTGCAGTTGCCATAATCATGAATGCCCCATTTTATCTTGTCAGGGCAATTTAGATTTCAAATTCTTTAGAGAGGGGTCATTTCTTTTGAGCTGCTTTAGCACAGTGGGACTTGCATATCCCTAGGGGCCCATATGATTTGAATGAGAGACCAATAACCAGAAAAAATTGGGGAAATACGCTTTTTTGACTTTTGAGGGATTTTGTCTAACCCAAATAAAAACCTTCTGAACAACACAAGCATGAATAAAGCAGCACAGACTAAGGAAACAGCTGTACATTGGAGCCTATTCATCACTCTCACTCTGCTTCCCTACTCAGTTTTCAAAAACTCAGGAATTTGGGATGAAAAAATACAAGAAACAAGGTAAGCAGTGAAAACAAGTGAAGGCACTAAACTGAACTGTCAGGCAAAGCAAGTCAAATTTTAGACTAAAGGCTCCCATTTACTGGGAAGCCAATGATAAGCACCCCCTCCCTTGGTCAGGAAGCAAAGCCCTCGGTCACTTGCTCAGTTGCTAGTGGGACATTTCCTACCACCCTTCTTCAGCCTCTCTTCATATGCTGCAATTCTGTCTTCCACGGGAGCTCCCTGGTTCATACTGACATTAAAATTCCGCAGAATCCTCAAGCATCGGATGCCCTGCACGCTCCCGCTCAGGGAAAGCAGTTCCCTCACTAAATCACACCCCTGCTTTGCTACAAGGTTTTTAATGTCTTCAGCTGGAATGAGACAATGCAAAGGGCCTACTGTTTCCTTACTGCTCTTGTATTACATGATTAGATCTACTACGATGGGATCACTTTCATATAAATAGAAACAATAGATATACCACAATTCAATTACACAGTCGCAAACCTGGGACTTGAGAAAAGTCCATGAGCGTGGCATTGAAACCAGAACAGATAAGATACACATATACAAACTTGTGCTTTAATGTTCAGGGGCTTAGAGGACTCACAGGAGTGCATCTTTGGGGTGCAGTCCAGCAGACTTCGTTCATGTGCTATATGTAAGTTTACTCTGTATCTTTACCATTCTACTCATACCTCTGTTCACCGATCTCATTAAATAGTTGGTCTCACCCAGATGAGTTACAGCTTTGCGTCACTTCCGTGGCACGTGCCCTCCTCCCCTCGTGCTTCCTCAAGAAAATCAGACCCAGTTTTGTAAGCAGCCCCCTGGACTTGCCTGCGCAGAAGCAGAGCTCTGCCCACAGGAGCAGTGGTTTCCAGACCATTCCTGTGTGGGCTCATGTCCTCTCTCCAAGTCAGAGCTCCTGCTCAGGAACCCTTCAGAGCAAGGACCTTGTCTTCTCTACGCCATTATATTCGCAGTGCCACGCGGGGGAGCTGGTACCATGACTAAAGCCCTTCACTTCAGATCGTTAGGAGAAAAGGACAGCTCAGCAGCAATGAACCTTCACCCACTGTGTAAGGGCCTTAAAGGGCTGCTTGAAAATGGTGACATGTAAATACACACTGAGCACGCATTTTAATAAAGATCTTCTTTCTCAAAATTATATTGTTTGCTGAATCTTAAGAGCATCTTCAGTGTTGCACAAATCACTTTTTACTGTGGTTATACATATAACACATAGGTACATATAAAATGTACCTTTTATTCTTTAAACAAAGTCTGAGGTTCTCCTATAATCCAGAAGATTCTCAGAACAGAAGAATTTGTAATAGTAAGAAATATTGCAAGACTAAAAATAAAAGTGTGAGAGGTGACAGTTACTGATTCTGTCTTGAAAAAGTGGCCAGACCCAGGAACTCATAAATCCTAGCAACTTCGGGTTGCTCTCAGCTTGATAGATTGTATACAATGCAACTGCTATATTCGAAAGATACAAGCAAAGCAAACTGAGTAATGGGGATCAATCCGAAGCATTCACTGAGATGCCTTACACGGATAACTGCAATTCAGCTAACTCTGCTCCATGGTGAGCTGTGTCTGGCTGTGAAACGCCTTTGACAGCTGAAGTAATAGCAGGAACAAACAACTCAAAAAGCAGGTAATGGGCCTAACCATATTATCATATTCAGCCAGCAGATGGACTCGAAGTCCTTTTGACAACCACTGAAATCACGATCTGTAGAGACAAAACCGATCTTTAAAGCTGCCGCCCCAGGACCCAAGGTGCTGTGACCCCCGGCCGAGCTCCCACCCAGCTGTGGCGGAGACATGAGGCGCGGAGGGGCTCCCGAAGAGGAACGACGGATGGAAAACGCGCCCCAGGGAGCGGAACACCCGGGGCGCCGCCGAGCACCCGGCAAAGAAG